AATACAATAAATACAGTAAATACAGTAAATGCAATAAATACAGTAAATACAATAAATACAGTAAATACAATAAATACATGGCAATCATCACAAACTGAAACTATATATTTATAATATATAGTTCAACACTGAAAATGACATATTTACACTTTACGTACATATTGCTGTTAGTTTGTGTGTACGACAGAATTACTACTTTGACTATTTAAATTATAACTATTATAATTATAACTAAATGAATGATCTATTGATACCGCCTCCACCGTGACTGCCCACAATAATGAATGCTAATACTTTTTATTTGTTTAGCACCTTCCAAAACAGATGTTACAAAGAGCTTCACAAGACAACTTTATATCCTTGTTGGTTTCTAAAAACTCCATCAGAGTGAGACCTCTTTAACTTAACCTCTCTGACTGATAGTTTGCGTGTTTGTTGGTCTCTGGAAACTCCATCAGAGTGAGACCTCTTCCCGCCTTCCTCCTCTCTGTGACGCGCAGCTCACGCCACGTCATCAGACGCTTCGTCACCACCAACAACATCAAACATGGCGGCGTCTGTCCGGGAGAAGCAGACAGGTTCGTTTAACGGCTCTTTTCTCTTCGTTAAGGTTCAGTTCAGTTCCACACACACACACACACACACACACACTGCTCTTTATCCTACACACTCTGTAACTAACGACATTAAACAGTTAACTCGGTAGTTAAACATTAACCGGCCCTGAGCTCGTTAGCTGCTGGAGCTAATCTGTTCTCTGTCAGTGTCAGTAATGTTTTTAAATGTTTTTTAATGTTTTTAAACGTTTTAAATGTTTTTTAATGTTTTTAAATGTTTTAAATGTTTTAGAGGCTTCATGAAGTCACAGAACATCTGATAGAAAGAGGATTAACCCTCCGTTAATGTAGAATGAGACGATATGAGGTTTCTGTTGTGTGTTGCAGCTTCATTAATAAAGTAATAATATATATATATACTTATAGCTTACTATACTATATAAATAGTATACCTATACGTTTATTACTTATTATTAATATAAAAGTAATAAAATTGCTCTTGACCACCAGTTTAAACCCAGTACGCCCAGTACACAGTTCAGCAGATACTGGGACACTTATGCTTATTAACATACTGTACAGTCTGAATTAATTACTAAAGTTAATAAAATGTACTTTTATTACTTATTAATGCTCTTGTGCTGAATGGATGTACTAACATTAATACATTCATTATTTTGTTCACTTAATTATTTTTCATATTCTTTAAACAAATGTTTCTTGTAGAAATATGTTTTTAATTT